AGGTATAACCTATATGACATTTCATTTCACCGGTCATAGGTGTGTAGAGAAGTTCATGACCGGGTTTAGGATAGATGGCCGTACTATCAAGAGGGGCAAACTTATTTGCATATCGGTTATCTAGTGCCACTTGAGCGATCTAACTTTGCATACGTGCTAGGATCGAGTGGCGTGGTGAACTGAGTGATTAACTCCTTAAAATGTTTGTGAAAAGCTAACACACGTGCACAAGGTGTTGTACACTTGGTGGTGTTGGCACATTTGCAAAGGAGAAGAAGTTGGAGTTGTTGTGAATCAACTCGGTGAAGAAAAGGAGGCGAAAAGAGGTCACTAGAGGTGACCGGACGCTAGCCTCGGTAGGACCGGACTCTGCTAGGCGCATCCAGTCAGTTGGCGCAGAGGGCGCTGCTCTGGACTCCTCGATCGGACGCTGGTGCCTGGAGGTGACCGGACGATACGCTTCTGTGTCCGGTCAGACATGACGTACGCTAACGTTATGGCGCGCGACAGTGACGCATGGTAGGCGAAGAAGGACCGGACTCGATCGCTGAGTCCGGTCATGACTAACCTGACACGTCCGGTCGGGTTTCGGCCTCCTCAGGAGCTCTCTGTTATTGACCGGACGCTGAAGCGTGACGAGTCCGATCAAGCTGAGCAGCGTGTCCAATCAATGGTTGCAGGCATGCGCGCAAAGTAGCCGTTGGCGGCAACGGCTAGTGACACGTGGCATCGCTGGATCGACCGGACGCATGGACCGGCGTGTCCGGTCATGTGGACCTGCGCGTCCGGTCGATGCGCAAAAAACCCAATGAAGGGGTAGCGGCTCTATTTGGCCCTTGGGATATAAATAGAGGGCTATCTCGGCCATGGCTGAGGTTGAGAACCTTGGGGGACTTTGTGTCCATGCTTGAGAGTGCTTGCGAGCCCTCTAACTCACTCGTGCTTGCAAGAGTACGAATCCATTATGAGTGAGTGATTCTAGTGGGTTGCCTTGTGAGATTGCATTGAGTGGCGCTAGGTGTTCGAGTTGCAAGACAGTGGTGCTTGTTACTCTTGGAGGTTGCCATCTCTTATACGGCTTGGTGGCTTGTGACTCCATTGAAGCATGGTGAGCAAATTGTGCTGTGCTTCGGAGGAGGATTGCTTGAGGTGCCCAACGTGTGGGCTTGGCGGATGATGTCAATTAGTCGCCGAACCACCAAGTGAGCGGTCGACACAACGGGGACTAGCTTGGTGGCAACCAAGTGAACCTCAGGAGAAAAATCACCATGTCAATATTGTTCTTCCCGTTGGTTTGTATTCCCCATACACAAGCTTGTATTTACTTTCATATATATTGTGCTTGTGTAGTTGCTCTTGTAATTAGTTAGCTTGTGTAGCTTGCTAGTTACCTTCTTGCTTGTGTAGCATAGAAGTAGCTCTCTTGCGTAACTATTTTGGCTTGAGTAGCCTTGTTAGTTACATTGCTTAGTTTGTGTAACTAAATAATTTGCGCTCTCTAATTTGTCTTGTGTAGCCTTGTTATTGAGCATTGCTAGTGAGCTTAGGAGCTTTGTGCTTTTGCTTACTAGATTGTGTAGGAGCTCCCCGGTTGCCAAAGTACTAGTTGCACGCGTCATTGTCGTCCACTATACCGCCAATGGCGTGCGGCCGACCTTGACCTTCTCAGTGCTGCTATCTGGTCATCGACCTCGTTGATCTAGCTGTCACCTTGCAGATCTAGTCATCGGGCACTCCGTTCTGGCCATCCCCTTCTAGAATTGGACGCCGGCCACACAACGTTGTTGCCAGCCAACCACAAACCACACGAACTAGCCTCCTAACTGCACTGCCTGCCACGCCGGTTAGACTGTCCCTCACAAACTGTCTCCGGGCGCCGCCGCCGGCCATGCGCCACCCCCACGCATCCTCCAAATCCACCGGGCTAGGTAACATAGAGGAAGGGAGGGGGCAGACTCTCTCGGGCCTGTGGCACCCCACTCGGATTTGAGCACTAGTCACGCCGAGCAACTCGCCAGCCTCCATTTGGCTGCACCTGCGTGTAGACGCACCATCACCGAGAGCGAGATGACGTCGGGCAACTGTGCCGCCGCCACCCGTAGCACCGCCGTCAAGCCACAGCAACGCCACCAAGGGAAGCAGCCCCCAGATCTGGCAGGAGGGGCGGTGGATTCAGACTCTAAGGCCGAGGATCTGGCCATGGCCACACCAGAACTGAGCTCGCCGGCTGGACTGACATCGCCATTTGAAACCTCAACGAGCTTGAGAAGAAAAGTCATGAAAGGAGGCCCTACCGCCACCGTCCTCGCAATAGCACGGACTTCCAGCCGCACGCTCTGGTGGCGGCAAGGCGGTAGGAGTGAATGAGGGCCTAGCTATGGCGGCGGTGCTGCGTGCCACCCGTGTTGCCGCAAGGGGCAACGCGGGGGCCTTGAGTCAAGGGATGGCAATACTCAAACACTTTAGACAATCATTTCACTTTTGCAAATCTGTGATAGGTAGTCACTATCAAATTAAATTGTCCCAACCTTTGACATCCAATGATGAAAATTTGACAAATATTTTGAAAGGAAGAATCTCCTCACGGTAACAATGTTTTTGCCTCTAGGGGCATATGCCCCCATGTGAAGAGGTTCAGGTTTGGTGGTGGCTTAGCATCCATGGTTTTACGGTGCTATTGTCACAATCTAATGTTGATGCTACAACTAAGTTAAGCATGTCACTAGTACAAACAAAACCCTTCACTATTGATTTAGAAACAAGAAATTGCATCATCAAAGGATTTACTTGCCACTAGGACACTAAACATCATTACGATTGAGTCTGCGGTTTGTTGCCCTATGGCTACGGATGATGATATATATTCCTATCAATTAGGCTAGCTAGAGAAGCATATCTTTTTGTTTTTTAGAAGGTGCAATAGAAAATGTTTCTCTCATAGACCAGTTCTTTGTAGTTCCAATATGTGTTGCCTGGTGGGCAATGATCAGCAATACCAAAAGCTATTGTAAGGAGCAGGCTTTGTGAATCCAAGTTGTTCAACAGTCAACCATCCTTTGTTTAGTGTTTAGGCCTTTACACAGTGTTTAAACAGAGTTAAACGGGCTAAACGATTTTGTATAGTAATACTAAAATATACATATTCATGTATGTAAAAAACAAATATGCTAGAAAGTATACGTATTTACGGATGTAAAAGAATGAGTATTCTACCAAATATTTTTTTTGTCAAGAAAACTAAATCCGACTCCACCTCATATACTTACGGAGTTAATTAGTTGGGTGCCAAATGTGGTAGCTATAATCCTCCTATTAACTAAATAGTGAGTTAAATGACCATTTAGCTCATTTAATCATATTTAACTTGATTCTATTTAGACCATTTTGATGGTCATTAACGATTTAAATGGGTTTAAACAGTCCAACCGTTTAATTCACCGTTTAGGGCCTAAACGATACGGGTGGCCATTGTTTACCGTTTAAACGCTGTTTAAACGGAATAAACGGCCATTTAGGTGAACAGTGGATATCGGGAATCAACAAATTTAAGGAAGGTGCAGATCAAATTGGTGCCATACTTCAAATTCTCCAACCCATTCTTGGTGTGCCGGGCAGCAAGATGATCATACCGCAAAGGTAGTGGCATAGTTTCAATGACTCCAGAGCATCTGTCACCTCCATCTGTATGAAGTTGTCAAAGCACTTTCTATCATGATAGTTTCCAGCATGGATGGGGTCATCCTCTTCTAACAAAGTAGAAATCATAGCAGGTAAGGGCTCAACTTTGCTTCCACTGCCTCATCCTCTTGGGAATTCTATAGGCTCCATGTTTCACAGTGCAGGCCCCTAGGTCTGCCTCCTGCTGGCAAATGGCCAAAGTAACTATTATATTTGTGTGCACCAAGCAGGACAGAGCCAGGGGCAGGCATGGGGCATCCCCCTAACCACAAACAACACAACAACACTTTTTATATAGTTTAACAATCTATTTTTGCATTAATAAAGTATGATAAAAATATTGTCATATATATATTTATTGATGTCTTCTGGACAATAAAATCACCCAAAACATAATTGGAATAAAACACTTTGGTTCATCTAAATTTGTTTGACTACCATATTAGGATAAATTTAATGAAATTTTTAGGTTTTACTAAATGCGAGGTCCATGACGCAACACTTGGCCAGCCCATTGTAGTGCAGGGGCTGGTCATGGCGCAGAGGGGCCATGGTGTTTCGGTCTCACGGGGTAGACACCATGTCAGTAGGGGCTGATCATGGTGCCACGGGCCACGCATGGTGAGCGGTAGCACGGAGCCACGGTGAGGGACGCGACACCTAAATCTTTTTTTTTATGAGTAACATTTACCGACGGTGGACATAATAGAATATCCGTGATTTTTTTGTACAAGCAAATCACATAATAGACCCACCTGTGAATGGCCACTTAACTGTCTGTACAGATGATTACAGCCTGTTCGGCTGGGGTGAAACGTTCGTAAATTTCCAGCCGTAACAGTATTTTTCTCTCACACAAACCAGTCAGCAGTATTTCTTCACGAACCAGCAACGAACCAGCCCAACCAAACGAACAGGCCTATATTCTCAATTTTTACTTTGCCACTGACCTGCCTATGCTAATGGATTTTAGTGCCTGTAATCGCCCCTGCACCAGCGAAGGTTAGGGCCCCTCCATTGAATGAACTACTGTTAGTAATTCCCTATAGCTAATACTCCGTAGTTAGGAGGTTTATTAGCTGGGATGTTTGATCTTTACATGCATGCTAATTTTACCTTCCTTAACACTAATAGATCCAACGAGGCCTATATATGTATCCTCTCGGTTTGTGTCTCGAGCAAACCCTGCCAGTTGTTCCGTGACGCTCACTGCGCGCGTCTAACTCTGCTAGCTAGGTCTCCGCCTTCTGCCGTGGGCGATCCTCTTTCCTTCATCCCCCACCTTTCAGAAACAATTAAGCATAGTGATCTCTTGCAATCCGATGGGAAGCCAGCTTCTGTCCACCGTCGAGCGTCGCGAGGTCCTCCCGGAGAGCTATATCCGGCCGGAGTTCGACAGGCCGCGACTCGCCGAAGTGACGACGGACAGCGACGTCCCGCTCATCGACCTCGCGTCGCCGGATAAGCAACGAGTCATCGACCAGATTGGTCTGGCTTGCCGGACCTATGGCTTCTTCCAGGTCTCTCTGCCTCTCACCTTAAAAGATCTAGTTTCAAAAAATTAGGTTTTGTCCTGGGCTGTGCATGCTTCAGCTTTCAAACATCTGCGCAACTAACGCAGCTTAACTTCTTCGAAGGCTTTAGAGAATTTGTCTCGCCACCTTGTCAGACATTACTGTGCATGATCTTCTTGATTTCTTCTAGGTCATAAACCATGGAATAGAAGAGGAGCTACTGGAGAAGATGATGGCCGTTGGTCTGCAGTTCTTCCGTCTGCCGCCGGCGGAGAAGGAGAAGCTGTACTCAGATGAACCGTCCAAGAAGATAAGGCTCTCCACCAGCTTCAACGTCCGCAAGGAGACGGTGCACAACTGGAGGGACTATCTGCGCCTTCACTGCCACCCGCTGGAGTAGTTCTTGCCCGAATGGCCGTCCAATCCTGAATCCTTCAAGTAAGCTTGTATCACAAGCTAAGTATTACCACTTATGTCTTAGTACTTGTGCATGTCGTCATAGCAGGCTTACTTATGGCCATTTCTTCTTAGTAGCCGCTCTCTTATATTGGACCATGACACAGTATGCTTCCGTAATCAAGACGACGTCTGCCAATAAAGTTTACAACCACCAAATAGAGGCCGTTTAGATATATATAGTAGCATTTGATATATGCTCACTGCCACGTACAGTGCCACACTCACAAATATATAAGTGACGTTTTGGATACGTACTTACATAGTTTTCAAAGCCAACTTTGACTAGTGCTAGTTATCAAAACATTTATATAAAAAAAGAAAAATTATATCTTTATTATGAAACTTTCGACAAAATCTGCTTGCACCATATTCCAAATTTAACACACAAAAACATATTTTGTGACAAAAGTTTATAATGGTTGATTAAGAAAAAAAACTCAAAATAAAAATACCACTTGTTTGTGATGGAGTATGTATTATATAGAATGGAAAGACTATAGCATAAAGAAAGATGCATATACTGATATGAATGTAGGATAAAGTAAATGTGCACTCTAGGACTGTGTCGTAGAGTATTTATAAACACTGGTAGGAGTGTTATGCTTCCTAGCTATGTGTGATTACTGATTAAGAAAACTAATGTGTCATGCACCGACAGCCTAAGACAGACTTTACGATCCATAACATTGAGACTTCAACCATTCTAAATGAAAAAAAAAAACAGTTCAAAAAGATGGACACACACATGTGCTACACTCCTAATGTGCAACAACTACCTTTATAATTAGCCAGCACTGGCTAAAGTTTCTTTACTGTAGATAGTACAAAACGGTGTTTTCTCACTGGTTTTACAAAGAAGTCGTCAGGGTCGCTCGACGTGACAAATGGCCCTCTGGAATCGCCAATGAAGACCATATGTGTGGTGTGGTTTGGCATGCACTAGCTGGCGCTCAAGAAGAACCGAGAATGGCGCAATTTTAGAAACTAGATAGCTACATTTCTGGACTTGTTTGGTCTGTTTGCACCGAAGCATAGAGAGATAACGATATCATCCATATCCGACAGTCAATATGGACCTGATACCCACCAGTCACCACCATGCACGTGCATGGTTATCCTCTCCTGTAGCATGCACCATTGTAGCTCTAGAGAGACTACGAGGTTCGCTAGCTAGCTAGAGCCGTCGTCGTCGGTCACACCAGCAACGTGTAACACGACGCGCTTGCAGCTGCAGGGATAGCACACTACTACTGAATTGAGCCAGCGACATGCTTTCTTTTTCGTGTGAGGCTGGGAGGGGCGCGCACAACAAGCATATATGCACGTCGGATCAGCAGGTTTAGGACGTGGCTTTTGTCTGCGATGCACGGATCGCGGTACTAAGCTGGGGGTGATTAGTATAATTGTAGGAGCACGTCGGAAATCACAAGAGACGACAATGCTCGCGTGAATATAAATATCTGATCACTGATGGACCGTACCGGGGAGCACTTAGTGGTGGACGGCAGTTTCTAATAAGAGGTTCATCGTTTCTCTGCAGCACACACACCGTGTTACATGACCGACAAAGGTCCACACTGCATATATATATATATATACCGAGATTCCCTTTTTTTCAGTTTTTTTGCTTTGGATGTCATCTAGCACAGGGCCAGCTGGTATAGTGCGGCATCTTTATTTATTGGTTCTAGATACCACTACAAAGTAGCAGTACTCATCTTAAAACGTACTCTCCTCTCTTTTTAAGTGTTGCCTAAATTATCATGCCATAAGTTTATCTGAATTTATAAAGAAAATTAGTAACATTCGTATCTCCAAATAAGTGTATTATAAAAATATATATAATGATTAATCTAATGGTACTTATTATATACTGTATTAGTAATCTCTTGTATATATTTGGTTAAAGTAGAATACATTTAACTCCTAGATCTGTGAGAACTACAGTTAAAAAGAGACAATGGGAGTAAGGTCGTTTTACTTTTCTAAATTAAATTTATCTAATTTTAACTATGTTCACATATATAAGAATAGATTATTACAATTAATATCAAATAAATATAGTATCAAGATACATGGTGAATTTAATGAAACTAATTCATTGTTGTAAGTGTTAGTGTCATTTAGACCAAACTAATTAAAACAATTTAATTTTTATAAGAGTGAGGACCAGTACTATACTCCCTCTGTCCCTTTTTTCTGTCGTCTCACTTCCTGTGGCAGACCTCGACCATTCTCAATATCACAGACTCATGCACATAGGCACATGATCATACTCTGAAATATAGTAGTTCGTACTTCGCCTAATAAGCTTCCAATGTGCAGCCCTCAAGGTGACTCCAAAGAGATAGAAAACTCATCGAACATCCTGACCTCGTTGGCAAACGACAAACATCCACCTAAGCTACAATCCCAGCCTCGTTGTTGCCGTTCTAAAAACATGAACTGAATTTTTACATGAAGATCCCACAAAATAGGAAAAGACACCTCAACAATGCATCCGTGGAGAAAATAGCTAGGTGTCCAAGGCCAAAGGGCGTCACTGATTACCATGAACTTTTGCTATATCAATCTCACCCCACCCACCACGAATTATGTCCACATACAACCTTGCCACCGGTAAGGGCCTCATTGGTCGTGCTCACGTGCTCCCCCTCCCCACTCCCCAGTAGACGCGCTTGCCACCTCTGCCACACAATTATCGTGCATTCGTGCTCGCGCATGGCCCCTTCACCACAGAGACGACCATAGCGCTCTGCCTGAGCCGCCTTGAAGTAACGAGGAAGGTTCTATTTGGATTATGTAAGCACGTACACTTTGTGAGAAAATACGTTATGATTGAAAGTTTAGGGCACAAACAAGTTCTTAAGGTGATTATGTCATCATTATTTTTCCTTGAAGAAGAGTGCTATCAGTATTTGTTTTCTTATTAAAACTGCACTAGCTAGACCTCAAGGTCATAGCCATTAGGTTTAGATACCATTTCTTTTTTGAAAACAGGGTTTATTATACCACGTTGGTAGAGCATCCAAAAGCTTAGGTTAACTAGAACACAACGTTATCATACTTCTACGTTGAGAAATGGAGACTTATATGGTGAATAAAAAATACTTCCTCTGTCAAAAAAAAATGCAATTCTCCTTTTTCGAAAAGTCAAACAGGTTGAAATTTGACTAAAGTTATATGAGAAGGTATTAATATTCATGATATAAAACAAATACCATTAGATTAGTTACAAAATATATTTTTACAATAAATTTATTTGGAGACATAAATGTTAATACTATTTTCTATAAACTTGGTCAAACTTGAGTTAGTTTGACTGGCACGGATCCCATAATTGTATTCTTTTGTGGACGGATGGAGTATACAATAACTTTTCCAAAGTGAACAGCCGAACAGGTGTTGGTTGATTGGTTATTCCGAACTTCCAATAGCGTCCAACTGATGCCCTTTGTTTTTAAGCCATATATATAATAATGTCGCACTTCCAGTCCCTTTTCCATAACGTGACGCGCATTGTTTGGATTTCCATTACTGTTCTCAAGAACGTGCCAGGCAATGTTCGGACTTCCACAATCACTTCTCAAGAGTGCGCCATTTTCAGTCATCACGGCATCAACCATGGAGTATATTAAAGATTCGGTTCTCCACGGCACTAACTAAGACCAACTAGCTAATTTGAGGCATGACTTTGTTGAATTTGCTCGACAGAGACGATGCAAGTCAAAAACATCTAACTGTTAATAAGAACATCACACGAACACATCACTCTTTTCGTCAAAGTAATCAAAGTCTGCAACTGCGACCGTCATTTCGTCAAAGTAATCACTCTTACGGTAAAAAATATAATCAATCAACCTAAAGTAGCAACTCACATGGTTCTGTCATGTTATTGGCTTTGCGTATGATTCATTAAAGAATTTTTTATGATTGATGCTGGTAGCTCCATGCATGCATATGTGCTTTGCATGGTGACATCCATGTATCATGCATGTATTTAGTTTTTTCATATATCATAAATGACATGAGTGTAGTTTTTCTTTTTTATGCAAAAGGTAGGAGTAGGTAACTTAGGAGCATTATATATGGATGATCATAATGAGATGAGTAATTTTACTATAGGGGTTACTTTATATATTATTAATTTTTTTACCGCAAAGGTGGGTAATTAATTCATAAAAAAAAAAACAGATTCAATAGCTGTTGTCATCAACAATTATTGAATATAATCAACCAAATGGATGTTATTCTTGTGAGATTTCTAACATTGTCTCTTGTTCTAACTCGCATGGAGGACTAACATGGAGGCATTAATTTTCCGTTCCAATTTTCGGCAGGGAGATAGCCAGCGCGTACTGCCGCGAGGTCCGGCTTCTCGGCATGATCTCCCTCAGCCTGGGGCTCGAGGAGGACTACATCGAGAAGGCCCTCGGCGAGCAGCAGCAGCACATGGCCGTGAACTACTGCCCGCAGTGCCCGGAGCCCGACCTCACCTACGGTCTGCCGAAGCACACGGATCCCAACGCCCTCACTGTCCTCCTCCAGGACCCCAACGTCGCCGGCCTTCAGGTCCTCAAGGGCGGCGACCAATGTATCGCCGTCAGCCCCCGGCGGAACGCTTTCGTCATCAACCTAGGCGATCAGTTACAGGTAACGCGTACGTACGTAGTGACTCTGTTCTCGAATTGATGCCTTGGGTTTCTGAATCATGTCCATGCATAAACATGCATGCAGGCGCTGAGCAACGGCGCGTACAAGAGCGTGTGGCACCGTGCGGTGGTGAACGCCGCGCGAGGGCGCATGTCGGTGGCATCTTTCCTGTGCCCGTGCAACAGCGCGGTGATCAGCCACGCGGCGGCGCTCGTCCGCGACGGGGACGCGCCCGTGTACCGGAGCTACACGTACGACGAGTACCGTTAGACAATCTGCTGCATCCTT